GGAACCAAAGCAAGAGCGTACACGATCTGGAGGCCGCAAGATGTGCTGACCAGCAATCCAAAGCCAAGGACAGAACAACTTCAAGTAATTGGAAAGCTCGGCTTGATTGGATCAAGCTCTTACTACTTTGAGGGAATGTCCTTCCTTTTCTAGTAGTATGTGTGTTGCTTCTTGTGTTTTAAAAGATTCCGGTGTCAGATATCTGAGTTTTGTCAGGTGCAGAAAAATAGGGGAAGAACTCTTCTGAAGGCACGTAAAAGATGAATGACCCTGGAGAACCTGGGAGTCTGAGCCAACCTGTCTACCTGAGCCAGGGATGCCTTGACTATTTATTGACCCCAGTATTGAGTGATTTGGGAGCTGACGGTATTCCGTAGGGAATCGGAACTCACTGGGTAGCCTAAAAGAAGTGTCTGGCTTACGAACAGAAAGAGATATGGAATCACAAGCTAACAGAAGAAGCTTTATGAATGTGGTTCCCACAACGAGACCTGGTGTCTGCTGAGGACTCTCGGTCTAGCTGTCCTCATGGAATGTAACAGAAATTGTTCGCGCTCACCATGCGCAGACTTATCTGTACTATACTGCCTAGGGTCGCTTGGCCTACAATTTAAGAACGCCAGCCCCAGAAACTCCCTTTCCTCTTCTCTGTATGTCCAGCGCCTGACATATGGCTGGTGTTCGGCCGAGGGTGGCCCTTAAACAGGACATTCCAGTCCAGCTCAAAACCTGTGGTTCTGAGAGGGAGCAGGAATCATGCTGTACTGGGACACGGGACCGGCCTGAGTCCATACAGGCAGGCCTGAACCCAACCACAGGACCCAGAGGCAATGGTCTCCCAAAAGAACCCGGGCCAAACTCCATCAGAGTGTAGCTTTCTGAGCTAAACTTTTGGTTTGGGTTTTGGTTTTCGCTTGGTTTCCTGGTAAGAGTTCCTGGGGAGGAAGCGAAGGCGAGAGGAAAGAAAGGAAGGGAGGAAGACGCAGAGGGAAGAATGCCACTTTGTCTTAGGCAAACCAGAAAGGAATATTTCCTTTCCAAGCCCTTTTAAGACTTGAGGGCCTCTCCGTGACCGTGGTGGTGGGGTCGAGCGGTGGCCCTGGGGCCAGACCAACCTGGAACCTAAAATTCAGGAGAGCTGAGGGCAGACAGTGGGAGGGATCCCAGCGAGAGCGAAGCAAGGCCATCAGTGGGGGCTGCTGGTTCCTCCCGTGTGGGCTAATGTCCTCACAGACGCTTGCCTGATCTGTCGGTGAGCCATTGCTTTGATCTGATTGGTGCTGTTCTTTCAAACCACCATGAGTAGGACATCAGAGTTTGCGTTGGTTTTTTTGTTTGTTTGGTTGGTTGGTTTTGGGGGTTCCCCCCCCCTTCTGCTACGAATGAACCCTAGACATAATGGGCAAGGTTAGGACCAGGATCAGAGGTGACATTTGTGTTCTCACGTAACAGAGCTGCAGCATTTCCCGTGTCCCGCCAAGTCCAACCACAAAGATCCCATCTGAATAATCGGCTGCTATAATCCAATGGCTAGACCACTCGCCTTTGAGTTTAAAGGGATACTCCGCCTTGATCTGCCCAGGGTCTCCGACAGTCTGCCAACTTCTGAGTCACTCCGAGCGGAGCAGCTGTACAGGCTCAGCCTGGTGTTTGGGGTCCACCCCGCACACCCCACTGTTCTTGGCATTGGCCCCATCGATGGGCCGTGGAGGTGGGAGCTCTATAGCAACAGTCTTTGTACAGCAGGGTGGAGCGGGGAGATGTGCTGTGCCACTGCCCATGTTCCGTCTGTTCTGTGGGCAGAGTTCTGGGAACACAACCCAAACCATTGTCAGCCTGGTAGTGCATGAAGGAGCAGCAGAGCCCTGCCTGTGGCTTGTGACCCTAGGGAAGTGGTGATTTTCCTCCCGCTGCCCAGAGAATCCCATTCCTCTGTTTCAGATCGGTAATGGCTTTCTAGAAACTTTCTCTACTTCCCCCCCCACCACCACCGCCAACAACAACAAAAAAAACAGAGCACCTCACTTTCACAACACCTTCCTTCCAGAAAGTTTTTCTTTTTAATGTTTATTTATTTTTGAGAGAGGGAGAGACAGTGCAAGCGAGGGAGGGCCAGAGAGAGAGAGGGAGACACAGACTCTGAGGCAGGCTCCAGGCTCTGAACTGTCAGCACAGGCACGCGGCCCGAACTCATGAACAGCAAGATCATGACCTGAGCCGAAGTCAGATGCTTAACCAACTGAGCCACCCAGGCGCCCCCCAGAAAGTTCTTTCTGGTGTCTAACGTGAGCCCTTTGTGCTCTAGCCAAAGCTTATTATTGTTTTTTTATTTTTTTTTAACGTTTATTTATTTTTGAGACAGAGAGAGACAGAGCATGAATGGGGGAGGGTCAGAGAGAGGGAGACACAGAATCTGAAACAGGCTCCAGGCTCCGAGCTGTCAGCACAAAGCCCGACGCGGGGCTTGAACTCACGGACTGTGAGATCATGACCTGAGCCGAAGTCGGCCGCTTAACCGACTGAGCCACCCAGGTGCCCCAAAGCTTATTTTACTTTGGCCCTTGCTAGAGAAGGTACATCAGATACAAGAACCTTCCATAAAATTGAAGATTTCTCAGACCTGTCTTCTTCAGAAAGATTTGGGTTTTCTTAACCTTTCATCAGAGCCTTGTCACCCAAACCTTTCATTATCTTTCTCAATTATATCTTTGAGCCCTCTCCAAAACCTGTCTTTTGAGTTATGGGGACCATAACTTAATTAGATCTCTCATTTCCAGATGATACTCCTGGTGCTTAAGGAAAAATGAATTAAATTTCAGTCAGATATATTTCACTGGGGGAAGGGCCTGTAAAAAAAAAAAAAAAAAAAAAAAAAAAAAAAAGAAAAAAAAGAAAGAAAGAAAGAAAGAAAGAAATTGGATCCTTTACATAAATAGGACATTGTATCACAAATGATTTTTTCCTTCCCCGGTTTTTTGAAACAATGGTCTTTTAGGTTAGAATCTCTGAGGAATTAAATTCACCAAAAAAAGACCCATTGTTTCAAAAAACCGGGGAAGGAAAAAAAAGCATACGATGTGTGCCTCTAATAAGTGGGCAACATGGCAGCAATTAAGCACCTTAAGGTCTGGGGCGAGTGTGGGGGGTGGGGGGAGGGAGGGGGGTCCCTGT